CCTGATTATTTTGAAGTACTTATAGTATTACTACTGATTAGAGCACAAGATCAACTAATCTATATACAGTGAGCATCATAAGTCTTACCCCCCCTAACTAACTCAGGTCGATTTTTGTTTTCTACAATGTACATTTTTGTATGATTAGTTTACCCTTAATTTCATCCCTTACTGGAGGGGAACAACCCTTTCGAAAAATTTAAATGACATGGGGTGGTGAGTGATAGCTCATTTGAAAGGGGGTTTTATTCAACCGTGCAAAAAAAATTTAAATTTGCTTCATTACGTGTTGATTTATTAATGTTTAAAAATAACAAAACCTCACAAAATAGGAAAGCAACTAAACTAATAGTGACCTTCTAATGGCAAAAAGTCTTACTTCGCGTCTGAACCAAAAACGAAATCATGCAGGGCCGAATTTTAATTCTAAGGATGAGTGCGCTACGTTAATTTCCGTTATTCTGAAACAACAATTAGTCGAGAATTAATGAAGCAAATTTCAAAATTTTTTACATGGTTGAATAGAGAATAAAACCCTCTTTTAAATGAGCTGTCACTCACCACCCCATGCCATTTAAATTTTTCGAAAGGGTTGCTTCCCTCCAGTAAGGGATGAAATTAAGGGTAAACTATTCATACAAAAATGTATACTGTAGAAATCAAAAATCGACGTGTCTCGGCGATTTTCCTAACAAGACTCCAGTAACGAGTTAGATAGGGGGGGTAAGACTTATGGTGCTCACGGTATATAAAATTGTTTGTCCTGACTGACTGACTGACTGACTGACTGACTGACTGACTGACTGACTGACTGACTGACTGACTGACTGACTGACTGACTGACTGACTGACTTACTGACTGACTGACTGACTGACTGACTGACTGACTGACTGACTGACTGACTGACTGACTGACTGACTGACTGACTGACTGACTGACTGACTGACTGACTGACTGACTGACTGACTGACTGACTGACTGACTGACTGACTGACTGACTGACTGACTGACTGACTGACTGACTGACTGACTGACTGACTGACTGACTGACTGACTGACTGACTGACTGACTGACTGACTGACTGACTGACTGACTGACTGACTGACTGACTGACTGACTGACTGACTGACTGACTGACTGACTGACTGACTGACTGACTGACTGACTGACTGACTGACTGACTGACTGACTGACTGACTAACTGACTTATGGTGCTCACGGTATATAAAATTGTTTGTCCTGACTGACTGACTGACTGACTGACTGACTGACTGACTGACTGACTGACTGACTGACTGACTGACTGACTGACTGACTGACTGACTGACTGACTGACTGACTGACTGACCTATCAGCGTACAGCCAAAACTACTGAGCCTAGAAAGCTGAAATTTGGAACATAGGTTCATTTTATAACGTAAGCATCCGCTAAGAAAGGATTTTTGGAAATTTTAACTTTAAAGGGGGGAAATGGGAGAAAATGGGGGAGGGAGCTTTTAATGAAACTCTTTGTTCTTTTAAGTTAGAAACATGAAAATTTAAATTACAGCTGCTGAGCATAAATAAATAAATAATGACGTGTTTCAGGGTTTTTGGATTTTTAACATTTTAAGGGGGGAAAACGGGGGGTGAAAGTTTGTAAGGGACTAACGATTTTTTTGTTTTCTATGAAGTTAGAAACATGAAAATTGGAATTCCAGCTACTGACTACAAATTATTAATGACGTGTTTCAGGGTTTTTGGATTTTCACATTTTAAGGGGGGAAATGGGATGTGAAAATTTATTTGGGAGTATCCATGTTTTTGGTTCTCTTTAAAATTAAAAACATGAAAATTGGAATTGCAGCTACTTAATACAAATTAATAATAATAATATGTTTTAGGGTTTTTATATTTTTACATCTTAAGGGGGGGGGGGTAAAAGTTTGGATGGGAGTATAACTTTTTTTGTTCTCTTTGAAGTTAGAAACATGAAAATTGGAATTGTAGCTAATGAGTACAAATTAATAATGACGTGTTTTAGGGTTTTTGGATTTTCACATTTTAAGGGTGGGAAACGGGGGGGGGGGGGGTGAAAGTTTATTTGGTAATATCTATTTTTTAAAGGTAGGAACTTGAAAATTGGAATTGTAGGTTCTTATCATAAATAAATAATGAAATGTTTCATGGCTTTTGGATTTTCACATTTTAAGGGGGGAAAACAGGAGTGAAAATTAATAAAAAATTATTAAAAAGTAATAAAAATTAATAAAAATTAATAAAAATTAATAAAAATTAATAAAAATTAATAAAAATTAATAAAAATTAATAAAAATTAATAAAAATTAATAAAAATTAATAAAAATTAATAAAAATTAATAAAAATTAATAAAAATTAATAAAAATTAATAAAAATTAATAAAAATTAATAAAAATTAATAAAAATTAATAAAAATTAATAAAAATCAATAAAAATTAATAAAAATTAATAAAATTGATAAAAATTAATAAAAATTAATAAAAATTAACAAAAATTAATAAAAATTAATAAAAATTAATAAAAATTAATAAAAATTAATAAAAATTAATAAAAATTAATAAAAATTAATAAAAATTAATAAAAATTAATAAAAATTAATAAAAATTAATAAAAATTAATAAAAATTAATAAAAATTAATAAAAATTAATAAAAATTAATAAAAATTAATAAAAATTAATAAAAATTAATAAAAATTAATAAAAATTAATAAAAATTAATAAAAATTAATAAAAATTAATAAAAATGAATAAAAATTAATAAAAATTAATAGAATTTAATAAAAATTTTTAAAATGTAATTTAAATTAATAAAAAATAATAAAAATTAATAAAAATTAATAAAAATTAATAAAAATTAATAAAAATTAATAAAAATTAATAAAAATTAATAAAAATTAATAAAAATTAATAAACATTAATAAAAATTAATAAAAATTAATAAAAATTAATAAAAATTAATAAAAATTAATAAAAATTAATAAAAATTAATAAAAATTAATAAAAATTAATAAAAATTAATAAAAATTAATAAAAATTAATAAAAATTAATGAAAATAAATAAAAATTAATAAAAATTAATAAAAATTAATAAAAATTAATAAAAATTAATAGAAATTAATAAACATGAGTAAAAATGAATACAAATTAATAAAAATTAATAAAAATTAATCAAAATTAATAAAAATTAATAAAAATTAATAGAATTTAATAAAAAATTTTTAAAATGTAATTTAAATTAATAAAAAATAATAAAAATTAATAAAAATTAATAAAAATTAATAAAAATTAATAAAAATTAATAAAAATTAATAAAAATTAATAAAAATTAATAAAAATTAATAAAAATTAATAAAAATTAATAAAAATTAATAAAAATTAATAAAAATTAATAAAAATTAATAAAAATTATTAAAAATTAATAAAAATTAATAAAAATTAATAAAAATTAATAAAAATTAATATAAATTAATAAACATGAGTAAAAATGAATACAAATGAATAAAAATTAATAAAAATTAATGAAAATAAATAAAAATTAATAAAAATTAATAAAAATTAATAAAAATTAATAAAAATTAATAGAAATTAATAAACATGAGTAAAAATGAATACAAATGAATAAAAATTAATAAAAATTAATAAAAATTAATAAAAATTAATAAAAATTAATAAAAATTAATAAAAATTAATAAAAATTAATAAAAATTAATAAAAATTAATAAAAATTAATAAAAATTAATAAAAATTAATAAAAATTAATAAAAATTAATAAAAATTAATAAAAATTAATAAAAATTAATAAAAATTAATAAAAATTAATAAAAATTAATAAAAATTAATAAAAATTAATGAAAATAAATAAAAATTAATAAAAATTAATAAAAATTAATAAAAATTAATAGAAATTAATAAACATGAGTAAAAATGAATACAAATTAATAAAAATTAATAAAAATTAATGAAAATAAATAAAAATTAATGAAAATAAATAAAAATTAATAAAAATTAATAAAAATTAATAAAAATTAATAAAAATTAATAAAAATTAATAAAAATTAATAAAAATTAATAAAAATTAATAAAAATTAATAAAAATTAATAAAAATTAATAAAAATTAATAAAAATTAATAGAAATTAATAAACATGAGTAAAAATGAATACAAATGAATAAAAATTAATAAAAATTAATAAAAATTAATAAAAATTAATCAAAATTAATAAAAATTAATAAACATGAGTAAAAATGAATACAAATGAATAAAAATTAATACAAATAAATAAAAATGTTAAAAATGAATAAATATAAAAAAATTAAAAAATGAATGAAAATCAATCAAACTAATAAAAATTAATAATAAAAAAAAAAAGTCATGTATTTTTTTATATTAATAACACGACTATATGCGATCAAAATCGCGAGCAAAGCCACGGGCAATAGCTAGTGATATATACATTAAAAAAGTTAATTATTCGAAATCACAAGCATCGTTGTTGTATAAAGGTTTCCAAGAATATAATGAACTGCCCAGGGGCTTGAAGGATTGTAATTCATTAGCAAGTTAAAAAAAATGACAACTTTTATTAAAACTGAAAAAATTTAATTTTAACTTATATATATTTGATTATTACTTTTTTATTTTTCTTTTTAAATATTTGCGTCCTTTTAACTGTTATTTGTTTTATTGTTAATTAAGGCTGTCTAAACTCAAGATTAAAAGTATCTTTGTAATGTGTAACAAATTTATTTTTCTTAACTCAGATTATGTTAATGTTAATAATAATTATCTTCAAGTTTTAAGTGTACTGTATTTGTATTTCTATATTTTTTTGTATATTAGGTTTATCATACTTCAATAAATATCTATCTATCTATATCTATCCATCTACTAATAAAAAAAGGGGTCGTTCTTTCCAAATGCACCTTAACCATCATGAACATTTACAATTATTATTAAATAATTAATGTTTGTGTACTTACCATTTTAGCTGAATGTACGTGATCGATGTGGTATTGTAAAGTGTCTTTTCTATTAAAAACTTTTTGGCAAATTTCGCATTTATTCACATGTCCTTCGTGAAGTTTATAATGCTTTCTGTAAGACTTTTGATTACCCAGCAATGTATTACAAATTGGACATGTATACTTTTCTCTTGGTAAATGGGTCGCTGAATGAATTATCAGATTATTCTTATGAGTAAACGTTTTAGAACATTGATTACATGGATATGTTACTGTTGGATGTGCCGGTTCTTTAGAAGTGGTACATTCTTGCAGCTTATCCTTTTTGTCATGACATTTTTTTATATGACTATAAAGATATTTCTTCTGGAAAAATATTTTGGAACAATGAGGACATTGAAATTTGTAAAATAATTTGCAGGGGTGATTGCTTAAATTTTCTTTTCGTGCAAATACCTGAAATAAAAATAATAATTCATTAATAATATCTAAATTATTTGACAATTTAAAATATAATAAAAATATCACCCTTTATTTAAAGAAACTGCAGAAGCAATTCTATCAAAAATTGTTAACGTTGATACATACCTTATTACAGTCAACACATGTAAACTTTCCAGTATGAATATTCATATGCTCCATCAAATTCTTTAACTTTCTAAATATCTTCAAGCAAATATCGCAAACGAATTGTTCAGTTTCGTTTTCAGCCAATTCAAAATTAAAATTGTCCAAATCTTTGACACTTTCTGGAAGAATTGATTCCATATTTAGATTCAAATTTTCGTGTTCAAACAGATTACTATGATTTTCTATGCCGGTTAAATCCAACTGGTGCAATGCCAAATTTGTATTATCCATACTATCACTGAGAAATTCATTTAATAAAGGACCTCCGAAATAATTTTCTTTCGACAAGGAATCTGTCTGTTTATCTGCCTTTTTTATGACTGATTTTGGCTCTGACTGTAGAGAAAGTTTGTTGTTTATAACGTCTTTTTCATGAACAATTTTCAAATGTTTTTGGTAACCCTATAATAAAATAATTAGTAAATAATTGTCTAAAATAAGAACATTAGACTATATATGAGAAATTTATCTTAAACATTGGTATTTTTAGAATATTTGGCAACCGTGTAGCCTACGTAACAGACGTTAGGTGGCCCCACGGTCAGTTACAAAATAGTGAAAAGAGCAGGTGCAGTGATAGAGTGTTTATGTTTAGACATTTCATAAGGTCAGTATACCAAATTGAATGTATCTACTTCATATTAAATTTATTTAAACTGTTCCTGGGGGTGCATTAAACAACACTGATGGGTTTTTACTGGTTTTTATGCATGTAAATCCTAAAACCTCATTTTTGTTAAAGTGTCGATAATAGGAACAAACAAATTCAGTATGTTCCAGTTATTGACATACCCTGTCAATCACTGGTCCACAAGCAAATACTGATATACAATGTTGTCATACTGTCTAAAAAGTCTGCAATATACCATTTAAATATGAAATCTAACAGCCTTTTGATTCCAGTCATTGACAGGGGTGTCAATTATTGGTACAAGAAGTGTCAATAACTGGAACACGTTTTTTATTACAGTTATGGCACCTAAAAAAAATTATACAGAGGCTCAGTTGGATGAAGCTCTTGCTGCTATAGCAAGAGGGATGCCAGTAGCTACAACTGCTAAAACTTACTTTGTTCCACGAACAACGTTACTTTATAAATCAACAGGAAAGCTACCTATACATTGCCTAATGGGACCAAGTACCATCCTCACAAGCAATGAAAAAACTCTTGTCGAACAGTGAATACTTTCTCTAGCAAAAGTGCACCATCCAGTAGGCAAAGAGCAATTACTAGACAGTGTCCAGTTTATCGTTAAAGAAAATAAACGACCAAACCCTTTCACTGATTCGAGACCAGGTCGAAAATGGTACGAGTCGTTTTTGAAAAGGCATCCAAATTTAAGCGAAAGAGTTGCACAAAATTTAACACCAGCCCGCGAAAAAGTTACTGAACAACAATTGCGACAATGGTTTCGGGAAGTGAAAGAATACTTGCAGTCAAAAAATTTATTTGTTGCAAGGGAGGATCCTTCCAGAGTATTCAACTCTGGTGCGAGTGCTTTTTTTCTTCAACCAAAAGGTGATAAAGTCCTTGCACGAAAAGGGGATAAAAGCGTGTACAATGCTGGAACCAACGACGAGAAAGAAAATTTAACTGTATTAGTCACCGCCAATGCCGCTGGGACCCTAGCTCCTCCCATGGTGGTGTTTAAATATGAACACATTCCAAGTCATGTAGCTGTCAGTATCAATAAAAGTTGGGGAATAGGCCGTTCCGAAAGTGAATGGATGTGTGGAGCAACTTTTTTTGAATACATAACAAATGTGTTTGTACCATGGCTAGATGATTATTGACGGTCATGTGTCGCACATGACATTACACATATCAAAGTTTTGTTCAAAAAACGGAATTGAACTTTTTGCATTGTATCCAAACTCTACACATTTAATTCAACCTATGGATGTGGCTGTATTTAAGCCGCTAAAACAATTTTGGAAAAAATCTGTAAGAGATTGGCACATCGAAAATCACGGAAAAATATTGCGAAAAGAAAATTTCGGAAAAGTGTTTGAGGAAGTGTTATCCAAAGTTACAGATAAAACAATTCAACATGGATTTATGGCATGTGGACTTTCGCCGTTTAATGTAGAAAATGTAAAATTTTCAAAAATTTCAAACCCGTCGACAGAAGTTAATCAAATCAGAATAATAGAAGGGTTGGCAGTTTTGAAAAAATTTATTCCCTTAGAAAAATTAAAAAACTTTCGAACAAATTTTGATACTGCATGGACAGGTAATATGGAAGACGTGTCACTATTTAATGTATGGAACACAATGAAAAAAAAATTAAAATAGAATAGAATGGTTGAACCATTAGAAAACATAAAAAAAAGTGAGAACCAAATTTGCAACAAGAAAGAAAATGATCTTGTAGAAAACATATTAGACAACTCGAGACCAGGACCTTCTGGCCTTCAACAACAAAGAGTTGATTCTGATATGACCCCATTAAAAATTGTTATACATTCTAATGTCAATATTACACCTCCTACTGTATCACAAAGTGATATATCTCCTTTAAATTCATTGGAAAATACAACGCCGTTCAATGTATTATCTTTAAAGAAACAAGTTCCCACTCCATTTAAAAAAGCCTTGTTGTTTTGGCCGGAAGAAGTAAAAAACACAAAAAAAAAGAATAAAGAGCAAATTCCTTGTGCTATTACGTTAGAAATTTGGCAAAAATACCACATAAAAAAGGATTCTGAGAAAAAGAGAAAACAAGAATGGGCAGAAGAGAGAAAGCGAAAAAGGGAAGAAAAAATTATAAAAATACAAAACAAGGCTAAGTCAGTAAAGAGGGAAAGTTCTGACAATTCATCCGAAAACGAAGAATGGATAGAAAGTGGAGACAGTATTGATGATGTCAGTATCAATTTAGAAAATTAAGAAGAGAACGAAATACCAATCAAATACGACGATATCCATGTAGATTTTATTTTAGCGAAATTCTTAGGAGGAAAGAGAAAAACTTTTTTTTATAGGTATATCTGTGTGGTTCAGAAGAAATATTCCCGAAACGATATTGAAGTTATATCCCTTAAATCAACAAATGAAACGAATACCTTCAAACTTGTTGATAGTTATTGCTGCGTTTGAGAATCCACATCGGATGCATCTGAGATGTAAAAAATCTTTGATCACGTGATTCAGTATACGTAAATGTAATGGGACAGATATGTCCGATGTGGATAAAAAAACGCTCGAGATGTAAAAAATGCATCCGATGTGGATTCTCAAACGCAGCATATATTTCAACAATCAAGATAGAGGATATCATAAAAAAGTTATACCAACCGGAACTACACAATGTCGGCGACAGAATAAAATATGTATTTTCAAAAATATTGATATTTTTGAAGCCTAAAGCACCCATAAATTTTGATTTTTTGTTTTTATTTTTTGTATTATGAATTTGCTGTTTATTTTTATTTACTTAGTGTATTCAAAATTAAAAGTATAATAAAAAAATGTTCCTTAATTTGTGTCAATAATTGGTGTGTCAATTACTGGTACATGAAAAATATCAAGTGTCAATGACTGGTAGGTACTTCAAAACACTTTTTTTATAATATTTATGTCATAAAAAGCAAAATTATTAGAACTAAAAATACATAACTAATGAACTCAAGAAACTATAAGCTACAAGAAAAAAATCGTATTATATGCTTAAATTTTTTTGTTATTGGTGAAAATAATTATTTAATACAAATCAGCGTCTAATAGTGTCAATTATTGGTGCAGTTACCTTAGTAAAGTTACAAATTGTTTTTTTGGCAGAAATTGTGAAGATACTAATACGTAGGTATATTTAAATAAATACAGGAAATAAACTTACTTGAACTTTTTGAAAAGAGACATTACATATATTGCAATACCTTCCCAATTTTGCACGATAGTGTTTTAATAGGTGCAGAGCAAATTCTGAAAGGTTTCTTTCCATTTTACCACAGAATTTGCAGCTCCACATTTCCCTTGATGTAATATTTTTTTTCTTTCTAACTAGTGCATCTACAAAATACATACAAAATATGAATACAAAAAAAGGGAAAAATTTCATGTATATGTATTGGTTTATTTGAAATATATTGGATTGTTGCATTAGAACTAATGAAAATTCAAACCCTACAAAAAACTAATGAAATAATAAATCTAGCAGATGATACCAATGAGGGGAGTCATGAGAATGATTATATCACAGTAACAAGACGGCAAGGGAGAAAAAACAAAACAATTATGGGAAGTGGAGAAGGTGATGATGAATTTAAAGGAAGGAAAAAATCAAACAAAAAAATTTGGCTCTTTGTATCTAGAGTATCAGACACTGTAAATGAAGAAAATGTTAAGAAATACATTCATAAACCCACAAACGCAGAAGACATTTATGTGAAGAAACTAGACACATATTTTGTAAGACAGAATGTGGGAATAGATCCTCATTTTCAGGAGCAAGTATATAAATCAGATTTTTGAACGAAAAATATAATTTATTCCAGTTTCAACTTTAAACAAGGTCAGCGATTTCTTAAAGAATCACAAAACCAGAGATCGCATAAGAGTGAAAAAAAATTTTCAAACCTAGCCTCTACTTCAGACCTGATAAAATAAGGACCTCAAGGACTACTATGGAAAACCACTTTTTGAAAGAAAATAATGAATTACTATTTTACAGTTCCCAACAGTTAAATATTACTTTAATGCATATCAATATACAGGAAGGTTTTGGCAATAAATGCTTTGATCTAAATTTAATTTTACAGAAACAAAATGTAAGTATTCTATGTGTTACTGAACATTGGCTTGATTCTAACAATTTACAAGCTACCTCGATTGACGATTTTAAGCTAGTATTATATTTTTCACGGATAAAGAAAGAAAAAGGTGGTGCTAGTATATTTATGAAAACAAGTATTGCTGCAAATTTTGAATCAATTAATTTACATAGGTGGTGTATAGAAGGTGAATTTGAAGTATATGGTGGAAAAATAAAGATCGATTCTAAACTTTTTTTATTTATTATTACTGTGTATAAGCCACCTTGTACTAAGTTTAGCACTTTTATAAATCAGCTAGAGCTATTAATTCATAATATTTCTCAAAACGACAATCACTATTTTATCTGTGGTGATTTTTTGATTGAAGGTAATCAAAAAACTGTTTTAATTGACTTTTTGAAGGAATTTCATATTAAACATCATATAAATGTTGCAACGAGAACAACAAGTACAACCTCAACTTGTTTAGATAATTTTTTTGCCAATTTTGATGGAGATAAGGTGGGTGTATATGATACTTTTTTGTCTGATCATAATTACTTATTATGTTCGATTAAACTACCTAATTTTAAAAATAACAGAATTTAAATACAGATATAAACGAGATTCAAGTGATCCTTAAGCAATAACTTTTATAAATATTTTATCAGTTGAAAATTGGCGTGAAGTATACACATCTACTAATTTTAATGATGCATTTTCTATCTTTTATAAATCATTCCTGAAAACAAAGAAAGTGATAAAACCACAAAAATTAAAAAATCAGTTTCCACCTGATATTAAAGAGTTACATAATCTATTATGTGAAATGAACAGGTTAAAGAAAGAAATAAATTCTACATATTATACAGAACGTTACAATAATTTAAAAAAAGAGTATCAAAAAATAACAAAACAATACTTGAGAAGAAAAAATAATGATCGTATTTTAAGAAGTAATAACGTAATGAAAGAATCCTGGAATATAATAAACGAGAGTAGGGGAAAACGAAAAAACAACTTATTGAATCCTATTAAACTTACAAATGATGACAAATTAACACCCTTAGAAAAAGTAAATTATATCAAGGACTTTTTTATTAATGTAAATAAAAATAATATTGTACCTAACTGTACTATGAGTATTGATAAACATCATAAAAGTTTTTTTCTTTTTCCAACAACTCCTAGTGAAATCATCACTATAATCAAAAAAACTACTTCTAAACCCACTGAAGGTATTGATGAAATAAATGGTAAAATTCTGTTATCGGTTGCTCATTGTATTGCTGAACCCATATCACATTTTATTATTGAATCCTTTGTTTTGGGATTATTCCCAAATATGAAGGAATCTAAAGGAATTCCTGTTTATAAAAATAAGGGATCTGCATCTAATATAGAATATTATCATTTAATCTGTATATCTAGTCAAATAACTAAAATATTTGACTCAGCATATTTTATTAGACTCACTAATTACCTTGAAAATTTTAATATGTTGCCAGATACTCAAAATGGATTTAGAAAAAATAAGTCAACATCTACTGCAATTGCAACTTGCCTAGAGTTTATATATCAAGCACTCAATGATAAAAAACATATTTTGGGACTCTTCTATGACCTTAGTCGTGCATTTGATGTGGTGGATCATAATCTTTTATTATTGAAGATGAATGGGTTAGGAATACGAGGGAAACCTTATGAATGGTTACAGTCTTACTTAATAAATCGAACTCAAGTAATTGTAACAAATAGTCTAAAATCTGATCCTCTTCCATGTACAATAGGAGTTCCCCAAGGTACAATTTTGGGCCCACTTCTTTTTAGTTTTTATAAGTGATATAAGTAATTTTTGTTTGAGCTCTCAACAAATAGTTCAATATGCCGATGATACCAATATTGTAATTGCAGATGATCAAATTGAACAGGTCACTCAAAGTAGCAACGAGGCATCTCGTGAATTTAACCAGTATTGTAAAGATAACGGTCTGGCATTAAATGTAACAAAAACAAACTTCATGCAATTTCTACCCAAAAACATATTACCAGATTGAGAACCCTACTTGCACGTTAACAGAACAATTATTCAAAGCGTTGACGACATAAAATTTTTAGGAATAATATTAGATCCCAAATTAAATTGGGAAGCTCATATAAAAATGGTAACTTCAAAATTAAGTACTTGTTGTTATATCATCAAAAATTTAAGGGAGACGCTATCTTTTGATACTTTAAAACTATGCTATTTTGGTTTGGTTCATTCAACTCTACAATATGGGTTAATATTTTGGGGTGCTTCACCATACTTTGAAAGAGCTTTTGTATCTCAAAAGAAGGTTCTGAGAGCCATGTATAAGGTGACACCAATAACATCATGTAAAGAACTTTTCAAGAAAACATTAATTTTAACACTACCTTCCCTTTTTATTTTTCAACTAATTTTATACATGAAAGATAATGAACATATATTTCAGAAAAAAAGACCTGCACTCATATGATACTAGATTAAAATTTAACATCCATCAACCTTTTTGACGACTACAAATAAGCCAGCATTCACCAAAATATATTGGGTTTAAGAAAACATCTTAATGATTTTCTTGTAAATAATGTATTTTATAGTATAGATTTTTTGAACTTTTAAACTAATCTTAACATGAATTGTCTATTATATATATTTTATTTTTTAATGTATTTTACTTAACACTTTTTTGACTAGTCTGATAGGATTTTACATTATGTACCTAGTGTCTTTGTATAGTGTATAATTCTCAAAGATGAATAAATTCTATTTCTATTGTTTTTCACCTTTACCTAATATTTACATGGTTAATCTAGATTTTACTAAAAATATAGGGTACGGGTCGATTTTAGGTCCAGTAAAATCTTAAAGAAATTTATTTTTTATCAGAAAGAGCGTATTTTAAATAGTACATTAAAAAAAAAATGGCTGTAAATGCATTATTTAAGCCAAAAAAAATTATTTAATTTCTATAAAAATCAGCATTTTGACGACTGTAAACACGGAAACTCGATGGTTTCTGTCAAATTTAGAAAATATAATTACAACGTTGCCGGATTGTGATAAAATTAGTAGTTAATGGAAAATTGTGATTGCGCATACTGATCCATGAATATGCAACAAGAAAACGAAGCAACGACTTATTGTAGAGTGGCGGCTTCGCCGCCACCAAAAAACATTAACCCATACCTGGCTACGCCGACCGACATAGACTCCAACGGCCTGGACACAGCTCAAATTGAATAATTGAAATGAAAAGTCTCATATAAACACATTTATATTCTGGTTTTATCATTTGGCTTGGAGCTATTGAAAAAACAGCCACTGTCATTCCTGTTATGTACGTTTTTTTACTGTTTGACAACTCCACATTTATAGAAATAAAAATATAAGTTGTCATATTATTCATAAAAAATAATATAGAACGGTATTACCATGAATATATTTATTTATAACAAAAAGCAATTGGCAACATCGCTAAAATCACGCACATGCGCTCTTAGTGTGACTGTCAAATCGAAAAAAATTAAAAACAATATGACTACGTGAGAATGTAGTGAATAAATGCATATTCTTAATTTTTTAGCTTACAAATGTGTTTTAATAATATTTGTTTCTTTAATTAGGTTAGTGCACACTTATAGAAGATTAAAAAGTGTAAAAATATTATGGTTTTAGTTAATCTTTATGGAAAAAGTGACAAAATTACTGGACCTAATATCGACCATAGCCAAAATATAAATTAACTTACCTATACACTCGTTATTTTTTAAATTTTCATTAGTTTCACTAATTAAAGGTTTTAATATGTCTTTCTTCATTTTTGTAGCATAATATGGAGAGTACCATACTTTTAAGGCTTCGCCCTCACAAATATCTCTGCTAGTAATATAGTAAATGTCTTCCTCATCCTACAAATTGCTAACTTAGGAAAATTAAAAATCCTCAATTTAAAATAGTATGTAACACTTCAAATGTGTTGGATACAAAACAATTATTTTAAAAAGCTAATAAAAATTATAGAAAAAATCAATACCTGATAACAAACTACGTTTTGTTCTTCAAAATCACTGGCAGGATTAATAAACATCATCCAATTACATTCATTTTCATCACTAGTATCTAGATAATATTCAGAAAAATCGTCTTCAGTTTCGTAGAATACTCTCAAAGGAAAACAAATAGCTGGCAATAAGGAACAAAGTTTTTTTGCCTGCAATGGTCCAAACTGAGTTCCTTTACAAATTGCGTATGTCGCAACTACGCTGTAAGTATTATCTGCCATCTTTTTTAATGTTAAATCGTCTGGTAAAGTTAATTTCGCTTTAGATGGAATGATTTTATCAGGGATCTTAAAATGATAATATAATAAATGGATGAAAATAGAATATTATTCATTTTTTATACTAACATGGGACATCATTTGTATTATATCACAGTCCATTGCACAATGGTTGCTTCCGCAAATTCCACAAATCTGCATTGTTTATGGCAAACAATTTAAAATATTTAATATTATTTATTTTGAATATTTGAATCTATTTATGTAGACTTAACCTATAAAAAACTTCTGTTCAGAAAAGTCACAAAGCAAAAAATCTGTCAACTGGTGGACAAAACATCAGATCATGCTCAGATGATTAAAAAAATAGATAGGTAACAGGCGATGTTTATAAACTTATTTTGATGTTTGTCAGTTTAAGGGGCCTATTCAGTAACTCTGAACGACGTCGTTTTTTTTTTTTTTTTTTTTTTTCGATTTATGGCCTAGGTGTATATACCTAATATGCCAGTCTCAAATTTGTGTTTTTTTAAATTCTCAATCATGTGTGTTCTGTGTAGGCTTTGTTACTGTTTCCCAGCGCCACTTTAGGAACAGCACTGTTAATTAGAACCCAACAGTCAATGGTCGAGTGGGGAATCCTAATAGACGATAATCGTTCACAGACGACTTTTCTTATTCAGTAGACAACGATTGTCGTTGAAAATAGACAAAATTGTCGTTCATCAACGATAGCCACAGAGCTGTCGTTAATAATATGAAGTGTCGTTATAGTGATTTTTGCATTCCCTCTCATTTTTCATTGTGAATCAGGATGTGTTTATACATTGCGCAACTCGGATTTGTATCCCTGGCGCATACATAATCAAATCATAATAGCCCAAGAGCCCACTGTAAATTTTTACCGCCATCTGATAATGAAATAAAATATACCCCAAAAGCTTGTAAAAACATTGTACTTTACCGAATGGCACCTGTGACAATCCCAATCCTGAGCAGTGTTTAAAAAAAATATTTTATATTAAAAAAATCACATAAGGCATGACAGCGCTAATTTTGTTTGCCCTTAAAGTTTTCCAGATAATAACATATTCAAATATATCTTGATATATATCGTTAACGGGAAACATTTTCTTCCTCTTAACATCGCACAAAAACATCTACACACGATTAGTAGGTAAAAATCATTAAAAATATGAATCAATTTTTGCTGATTTAAGAATTTATTTGTATGCCTATTGTTGTGATTCATTTTTATAGGTTGTCATAGAAACAACAAAAAAAACTACTATGATTATGATTTAAAAGAATTGTCTAACAAGAGTTTATAATTATTATTGAATATCTCTGCCAAAGTTAGGTAAAAATATTAACAATTCAGGTTTAAAAGCTAGGTTCACAATGAATTAGGATTGTAATTTTCAGAGAAAACACCATTATCGCTGTCATGTCTTATGTAATTTTTTGAATATAAAATAATTTTTTTTTACCACTTTGCTCTGGATTACAGATTGGCACAGGTGCAATTTGGTAAAGTACAATGTTGTTACATGTCTTTGGAGCATATTTCATTTTGTTATCAGATGGTGGTCGTAATTTGCAGTGGGCTCTCTTCACATACTTTGATTTTCTTTTACTATACTGAGAATGGTCGCACTGCGCAGCTTTCTGAGTGTCTTTTAAAATGAGATAGAAAACTCCGCCATTTTGAACCCTTATTACGTGTTGCCTACATCTTGGCGCAATATTTTTAATAGGTGCGTTTTAATCATCCGCTTCTGCTTCGGTATTGTCGGTTTTCTTGTTTTAATTTGACAAGTTAAAACGACTAAACCGACAATTCCGGAAGCAGAAGCGGATGATTAAAACGCACCTGATATTTTGCTTGCGTCTGTCAGTGTCAGTGAATATTATTTTTTGAGTCACAGATTATTGCTAAAGAATCAGTTAGCTCACTCGGATCAGTTGAAAGTTTCAAAATAAGATCCACTCCAGGGATACAAATTTAGGATACGCAGAAGACAGCTGTTTTATTATAGGCGGTTGTTATATATTGTATTATCCGAGTTGCGCAGTGTATAAACTGGAACACTGAATCAAAAGTGCCGACGCAGAGTGAGCAATCTGATTCTTTAGCTATAAACTGTTGCATAGGGTTCAAAATGGCCGGGCCCTATGTTGGGCGTGTCGGACCTCTCTCTTGCGCCGTATAGTAAAGAAAATCAAAGTATGTGGCTCTCTTATACCAATTTTTGGCGAACTCCCGGAAATCAAACGGTGTTACCCGCATCATTTTCGCGACGTGAACCGCTCAAGGGGAAGTGTAATGACGTCATTCACTGACGTCATTGTTTGCTACCGCCGTGATGAATCTGTTCCCGGCCTCTTGAGGTGGTGAACAAACGGTTGATAGTGACAGTTGATGTTCATAGCATTCTGTAATACTGTAATACCGTTTTGTTTTGGATTTTTTGCCATTTTTGGTAGCTGTCAGAGTTGCATTTTATTTTGTGCGTTCATATTTTTATTTTATGTATAATAGTTTTCGTTGAACTGTCTCTAAATTCTAATTAAATTTGTTATTTAAAAGAAAAATTGTCTGTCTCCCTCAATATTAGATTTTTCACAGTTTGTTTATTGTAAAATACCTTTTAAATACACAGAACATAACCTCGTTTATCTAAAACGTTGACGATTGACGTAAACCGGTTCATTTTTGCGAAGAATTTTTTAGAAACCGAGACATAATAGTGGGGGCATTTGACATGTCACGGTTTCTGTGTCACTGTTTATCAACGGGAGCACGCCAAAAATAGCTTTTACTATTACCAATTAAGCATTCCAACGATCTGTCAAACAATAGCTGTCAGTGAGAAGGTCAGGGCTGGAACTCTGTGTCATGTAGAATTCTACTTATCGCTTTTTACAATGGAATCGATTACTTTCTTTTGTGATAAATACGTTATCAACCGCACGGGAAATATCGCAATGTGGTTTCTTATGAAACTAGTTATCCTGTAGTAAGTATATACTCGTTGGTTTTCCGCTATGTTACACAGAGTGCCACAAAAGAATCTATTGTAGAAAGCGATAAGTAGAATTCTACATGACACAGAGTTCCAGCCCTGGTATATCTAAGGGGTAGAGACATAATGCATTTTCCTTTGGGGTTTGGTTCCGGTTCTAGTTAACCAAATTAGAACCAACCATATTCCTTTCATAAACAATGACGTCACTTATAACCATTTGGTTAACATTTTTGAACCAGCCTCGCGAGTCGGTTCTAATTTGCGGTATGTTCTATCCTTATTTAAATAGTATTCTTCTCATTGTCTAACTTTTTAAATTTAGTTTTCCCGCGGAACCTAAATAGTTCCGTACGAGGTCAACTAAGAAAATAGATCTTACTAGACACTTTTCTTATAAATATGAATAAGGAAAAAACAACTTAGACAATAATGTTAATAAAAGTAAAATATGTAGTGATCGACAAAACTTCCTAGAAATGTTTAGTATTCGAGATAAAATCTTCAAGGGCGTGTGTGTGTTTATTTTAACACCATTAAGATTAAATCTTGGACTGAAATGAGATTCAAAAAATGTGCCACTATTTTTCAAAAGAAGATTATCATTCTGTTTATCGCTAGAAAAAGGTCTGCATCGTTCGTTAAATGCTTTGTCGGTAGTGTCGGTTTTATTTCTATTTTATTTTAAAGAGTTTTAAATTAGTTAGTATTATTTTCGTCTGTTAATTGCCCTGTCGGTAGTGTTTATTTTATTTATATTTTATTTTTATATTAAAGACTTAAGTTAGTTAATATTTTTTCTTCTATATCATATAGCTTTAGTGTTTTCTTTGGCAAATAACTAACTACACACAAAAATTAAAAGAAAATAAAATTGAAAACTAACTTTAAAAATGAGTCACACGTGGTATTTAAATTTACACCAAAATGACATATGACTGACCGAACTAATAACCCAATTCATTCCATTGGCTATTGTTATGACGTCATCCATATGAACCAAAATCTGAACCGCTGTCAAAAATACTGTCAATTTAACGTCAACCATAACCAGAACCATACGTCAAAGGAAAACGACTATAGTCTTGCATCTTGAACGTGTTTTTTTCAATGAACTGGAGGGGGGTAGAATGCCAATGTACATGTTGTACTATTAGAACAAGGTGCGACTCGATGGGCGCAGCCATTTTTATTGTTCATCTCACTCGGGAGTATTTATAATAACCATTTTCTGTTTCACATTGTTATTGTTCAATCCACAAGCTGGTGGATCAGACAATAACAATCTGAAATAGAAAATGGTTATTTTAAATGCTCCCGAGTGAGAAGAAAAATAACCTATCTTCGCCCATAGAGTCGCACATCAAGTCTATTGACAAGCATTCTACCCCACTCCAGTTCATTGGTTTTTTTATTCGAAATAATAGTCACAAAGCCTGCCAATTTATGAAAAAATGTATCTTATTTAAATGTAATCCATTATTCGTGATTTTACGTATTGTAAACAGAATATATCGTATGTCGCAACCCTTGGATATATCAAATCTTCCCACTGGCAGTTCATTTGTTTGGAATACCTAATACAATATATGACAACTGCCTATATTCAAATAGCAGTCTTCTGCGCATCCTGAATTTGTATCCCTGGAGTGGATGTTATTTTGGAACATCCAATTAGTCCGAGTGAGCGAACTGATTCTTTTGAGCTATAAACTGTGGCAGAGTGTTGAAAATATTTTGAGTGCAGTGTTGCCAACCGTAGCGGAATTCCGCTACGGTAGCGGAATATTGGCACTGGTAGAGGTGTAGTGGCGGAATAACTTTATTTACTCTAATGTAGCGGAATTCAGTAACTTCAGGAATTAGGTCTCGATTTATTCTTTGTTTATGCTAGCGTGAATATAAAAGTGATTAATTTGTTAAATTTTTGTTTAAATTTCAAATGTAGGTTGATTTCTAGTCTCAAAAGTCAAATTTAAAAAGTATAAACTTCTAATTTGTCATTGTCATTTTATCACGTGACCAATAAAGTCTAAAGCGTTTGTTTATTACATCTACATTTGCTGCGTTTGAGAATCCACATCGGATGCATCTGAGATGTAAAAAATCTTTGATCACGTGATTCAGTATACGCAAATGTAATGGGACAGATGTGTCCGATGTGGATAAAAAAACGCTCGAGATGTAAAAAATGCATCCGATGTGGATTCTCAAACGCGGCAATTTATCTCTAATCCTCGATCACGTGATAAAGAATTCACATCTCAGAGGGGCTATTTTCAAACTCGAGAGAATTCATTTCCATCAAGAGAAATGTCATACGTCAACGTAAAACCGTATTTTTAGGGCTCTTAGGGCCAGTGTGAACTCACTGACTGTTTCTCTCGGTTTATTTAGAGATAATTAAAATTCTCCTAAGAATTTTAATCATCGATGTCTTTAAATACAGCGTTTCCACATTGACGTATGACATTTCTGATGAGAATCTTGAGAGAAATGAGTGCTCACATACTTTGAAAATAGGTCCCCAGATGCATATCCGATATGGATATTCAAACGCAGCAATTATATATGCCCCTATATATACCTAAATACACGTTTCTCAGCCGTAGCGGTTTTTTCACAGCAGGTAGCGGAATTTTGGGTAAGTGGTAGCGGCAAGATACACTAAACGGTTGGCAACACTGTTTGAGTGTTGAAAATATTTTTTATCTCTTCTATTTTCTTTCGACGTTATTCAATAATCATTGGCTACTTATGAACCTCTACTAAAGATACCCATAAAATATTTTGCTGAATATCCGAATATCTTCTATATCCTGGGATATAGACGGACATTTGGTTGGATATCCATATTGGATATATTGAATATCCACAAAATATATTCTGTGGATATCTCTGTGATTTCTTGTATTTTCTGGAAGATACCCATTAGATATTTTGCTGAATATCCATTAGGATATCTTCTATATCTTGGATATAGACGGGCATTTGGATATCCATATTAGATCCACGGAATATTTCTGATATCCTGTGGATATATTGGATATCCACAAAAGATATTCTGCGGATATCTCTGGGATTTGGTGTGTTGTCTGGGGCGAGTACAATTTGTAAGGACCGATTCCACCGTTGTATTAAACGGAGATTAAAATGACGTTGTTAATGTAAAAATGTAATTTTAAACTTCGTTTAACACAACGGTGGAATCGGTCCTAAGGAATGTTTTTTCTAATTTATTTAATTATTTTAAAAATAAATCTGATTCAAAGTTTGGATTGCCCATTCGACCATTTACTATTGGATTCTTATTAACAGTGCTGTTCCTAAAGTAGCACTGCGAAACATTAACAAAACCTATATTATGGAAGTACCTATTATAATAATACTTCTCCGTAACCTACACAGAAAACGAGGCTAATGGCCTGAGTTGTCGAAGCCGATGACATCAATAGAAAAGATAATCAGGAAAAAGGATTGATAGTATCAAATTTGGTTTGTCTTTTAAATCCAATAAATACAACTTGTACTGTTCTCGAGTTGTTTTTTGTATTATTTTGGAATAGTTCTGTTTTTTTAATATCCATACTCATTTAAATAAACCCTACATACAATACGACCAGCAAAAATGGCCCGCGAAAACAGAATTCCTACGAATCGAGAATCGACCCCCTGATCGTGTTGTAGGTTAAGAACAATAATTAATATATTCTGAAAAACAAATGAATATATCTACTGGTAGAATTTTTATTTTACGTTCCAAAAAAATGTCAAATATACCGGGTGTTCAAATTAAAGTGTTACAGTTAAATACCGCCTTTTATAAAAAACGAAAGTTTTATAGTTTTTTGGGGAAAACATTTTGGCTAAAATCGTTTTTTTATAGCTAATCGTAATATGGCCAATTTTTTTTTCGCGCAGCAAAATTTTCAAGTAGGTTTTATTCAATAAAAGTCCAATAAAAAAATGTTTCCTTTAGAAGTTTCTTATTTTTTTATGAACTTTAAGAATAGGTTTGTAAAAAAATAGGGTTTTAATTTGAAAAAAAAAGTCCACCTCGATATGGCCATATTATGGTCAGCTATAAAAAAATGAATTTATTCAAAATGTTACCCCAAGAAAACTATAATATTTCGTAAATAACGCCGTCGCCAGGACACTATATCTGACCTCTCAATTAAAATTGATTTCCTACACCGTTTGACAAAACGAAATTTTAGACCTCATAAAATTTTTCGTAAAGGTTCACGGCTCATTAATGGAATTTCTTCGTTTTCTCTTAATTTCGTAAGAACAACTTTAAGTATTGGGGCTTTGTTTTCGAAAAAAAAAAGAATGTACAGTTCTTCGAATGATTTGTTTTTGGTTATCATCCAATTTCAACAATTTTCGACCACGGGTATGCGTTTTAGGGGCTTCTAATGAGCCTTTTTGTCTTTTCGCGTACAATACGTTCAATTGTTGAAACAGATACTCCAGTTAAAAAAGAACTGCGGTTTACAGCTTCATTTGTAGGAAGTGTCTGTTTCAGCCCATCATACACTTTCCATATAATGTTCTTTTCATCCTTTGATAAGGGCTTTCGCCGATGTAATTGAGTTTCACTTGGACCCGCCTCTGAATCCAATACTATTGTAACAATATAATTCTACTATTAAATTGTTTTTATTAAATTTATAAAGACACCAATATTTTACTATTTAATAAACTTTTAAAGTACCTACCTAATATACTACACAATAAATATAACTCCTCAAATATGCACTACCACTACCAAATTGTAAGGCACAAACATAAACACCTACTTGTATATCAGAAAAGAGCACTTATACAAAAAAGTGTTTATAAAATATAAAATAATTATCGTAAATAGTTAAAGCGACACAATTCTAACTTCGTCGAAAGTTAGTTTCCAACTGTCTTTGTGCCTGTGCTGACTATATTCAATCTGTAACCCGTCTGTCGTTTATTTACTTGAAACACATTTTAAAACCATTAAACACAGATAACGAAGTCATTGGGGAATAAATATATTAATTTCTTGAAAACTATAAAAAACGTATATTTAACGCATCATCTTTGTTTAAATAAAGATGTTGACAAACAAATTTAATAAAGTTTACCAACAAATATTAGGTATTATTAAAATAATTATTTGGTATTTAATACGTCGCCTATGCTAACTCTGTCGGAATTTTCATTCATAGACAACAGTGTTGATCATGCATATGACTCACCTTCTCCAATATTTCGTCCGAGTATATAGTGAAGTATGTTGGTTACAAATATTTAGATGAGAGTGTCGCATCTACTTATTTATATTTATTTGAGGTTGGTAGAAATGTTTGTGGTTGGTAGACATGAAACATGATGGATCATTTTAAATGTGACATTTGGAACGTCTAGATATAAATATCGATTTTGTTTTTAAAATTAAAAAACATGGGATATTCTGATATTCTAAATTATATAGTTTATGAAAACCCAGTTTCACAAACAGCAATATCAATAATTTCGGTAAGTAATTGAGTCTCCTATTAAACAGTAAATAATATTTATTTTAACAGGGCAAAAAAGATTTATCATCAAGTGCTCCTTCAGTAAAAATAATTACAGAAAAAGTTCCATTATGGAAGTTGGCAGCCGAACATGGTCCCTTTATCAAAATTGCGGGAGTAATGGGTGCTACAGCAGTGGCTCTAGGAGCGTATGGAGCACACAGAACTTACCCGAAAGATAAAGGGCAAGAACTCAAACCAATTTTTGATACAGCAAATCGAATGCACTTTTTTCATTCTTTGGCACTTTTGGGAGTCCCTATGTGCAAAAACCCTAAAATTGTAAGCTAAAGAATCATATTTCTATCAAAGTTAGTTGTGTATTTATAATGTTATATTTTTTTAGACTGGCACGTTACTTATATCAGGCACCATTCTATTTTCTGGTACCCTTTATTACAACGCTTTTACTGGAGATCGCAAATTGGCAAAGTTGGCACCCATCGGAGGCACAATACTTATTATAGGATGGCTGTCGATGATTGTTTAGATTCAAACATAGTTTTTAGATAATAAACATGATTATGTCCCTGATGTGTGTACAACTACCTAGGTATTTAATCTAAACTTGTGTAATGTTTCAGATGAACATATTTAAATAAAATTTAAAATCCCTTAAGTATTTTTACAATCTAACTTATAATTAAAAGGACCATGCACTTTTCTTATGCAAACGGGAGTACCGTCAAAATGTCTGAATTTTTTATATGTTAAATTACTTGATGTCCCCATCAAAAGTGTACATGGGCCCAATCGTACCTATCCTATGACTAGATTTTGAGATACAGGGTGTTGAAGTTAGAAATCTTTAATTCTTTAAAATGGACTCCATAAATCACCCTTAAATATATTTGAAAGTTATTTGCTGATTCTGTATAGTCAAAATACATACTTAACTACTTTAATTAAAATATTGTGATTAATGATTTGGCAGATCTTTTTTGGTCAAAGTAGGTATTTCCACCGAACAAAAATAGCTGAAATACCAAAAAAAAAAATATCACCATCAAAGTTTCTCAATATTTGATATCGTATAGTACTCGATGTACTCGTTCAAAATTCTTATTGGTAAATTTACATCCTATGACTAGTTTTCCAAATATAACCTAATATGTACCAAATATATGAATTTTAAACAAAAAAAAAATATACTGACATAAGTAAATATGTTTCAGAGAAATACTGTATATTAGATAATTTGACACACTGTGTTGGATTAGAAATATACCCCTTGTACTATTTGAGGGCAGCTAAAATTATTTTCTAGTTACAGGGTGATTGTGGTTGAATATGTAAGGTGAAAAAATCAACAAAATGTTGAAATTGTTGGCAAAAAATAGAAAATAATTGCCTTTTAACTTGGGAGTTGTTTATCAAAAAAATCTTATTAGTTCACATACAGAGTCATACATTATTTCATTACAAAAAAAAGTTCGTTATACGGTAGGTCTAAGTAGGATTTAGGGATATGAATAATGATCAGATTATTACAAAGAATAGAAAATAATTACCTTGTGAGTTGTTCATCAAAAAAATATAAGTCCACATACAGGGTCATACTTTATTCAGGTACAAAGAAGTTGATTATACGGTAGGTCTAAGTAGGATGTAGAAAAATTATGATCGGATTACAGGTTTATTTGGCTCGAGTATTGTCGTAAATGCCTATTTGTATTGTATATTTAAATAAGATTATAAGCTCCATTTCACGCCACCAATGAGGTAAAGCCCCCAATAAATTTCGTTTTAAGTCGCATCCCCTAAAAGATGGTTACAGTTGAACTTGCAAGGTGAAAAAATCAGCAATATATAAAATTATTGCCAAATATTAGAAAATAAATTGCTTGTGAGTTCTTTATTGAAAACAGATTATAAATATACATGCATTAATATTTTAATTAGGCAATAATAAACTTTGTCAAACTGACATAGTTTTTTAATAATTAGAAATTAAAAACATTTAATGGATCCGCAGAATAAAGTAGTCAATGAGAAGAAAAATCTGAGAAATTATCAACTTCTTAACTGTCTTCTTATTCATTGCGAGTTTTCTTCTATGAATTCCATTGAATAATAGTTAGCCACACAATGAAGTATAAATGTCATATCTACTTATTGGTACACATTCTTATAAGAAATAGTATTTTCATGTTATTGGTCATTCAAATATTTAAAATAAGTCGAGCAGCTATATTATTCTAATTTGACGAAACAATTGTTGATATTTTTATAGTTTACAGCTTACCTGTTCCTCCCTTGATTTTTCAAGAGCTTCTCAAAACAATATGATATGAATACAGGGTAAAATATTCGTAATTTTCGAATCGCCGGCCTGTTTTTATATTGTCATTATGCAAAGGCATGCAAGTCGTTTTGTTAAGTATTTAATGATTATAACGCCATAAATATTTAAACTTGGAAATATAGTTATTCTTTAACATCCTGTAACTCCGTAATTTTTCATTTCAGACGTAAAGTGTTATAGATTGTTGTAATCGACACAACCAAGGCATTTTAAATCGGTTTTGGTCTGGTACCGTGTTAAGAATCACCCTGTATATTCGTAATGATAAAATATAAAGCTTAAGACTGCCTGCATGCCTGAAGTTTTTTTTTTTTTTTATGTCTACTGCGATAATATACAATTTTTCCGAAGATTTTCACAAAAATGGATTACCCTGTATATTTTGTAACCTATGAGTTTTAGACGATTGATAGATTTTATTAGTAAATTCTAAAAAGTGGTGAATATGCCAAAAACCTTATATGATATATAAACATGCTTACACTTGATTTATATATATTCATGATTAAATATTTTCCGAATAATTGAACATCCATCTATTGCTGACTTTTATAATAAACTAGCGGACCCGACAGACGTTGTCCTGTCTTAACTATGAATATTGATTTCGAATTCGTATAACAAACACAACAAAAAAGAATTAGCGAAATCGGTCCAGCCGTTCACGCGTGTATATATATATATATATATATATATATATATATATATATATATATATATATATATATAGAAATTTTCCGCGCAATTTTCTTAATTTTTTTTCTTTTATAAGAACCTTCTCATGGCAATAACAAACACAACAAAAAAAGAATTAGCGAAATCGGTTCAGTCGTTCACGCGTGATGCCGTGACCAGGGGAAATAGGGATTCATTTTTATATATATGGGGGAAAAAGGGCTGTTTTTAGGGTTTTCCCGGAAATTATTCGAATTTTTCTAGCCGTAAAAACCATCCTTGGACTTCATCGAACATTTAAAAAAAGAATTAGTAAAATTGGTCTAGGCGTTGTTGAGTTATGCGCTTACCAACACATTTTGCGATTAATGTTTATATTATAGAAGATATAGATGACGTTTGTATTACTTTAAATGAGCATTAGACTGTTCTGTATTAGTGTTTTAAATAAATATTGTTGCAAGTATGGCGTTTGCAAATAGGATAAGCTGTTATGTTTGCAATAGACACTTTCAACTTCGACTCACTATTCGTTCAAACAAAGACAATAATATAGATGTTGCTAATTTAAGAAGACAAGCTGCCGGACATCCTGCAATCGATAATCTACAAGAAGTAAGATTATGTAAACTGTTATCACGCAATTACACAGGAACTTAAAATATTGAAAATGATCCAAATTGCCTAATACTTAATGTTTTAACACCCCACTCAGTTCGTGGTTGTATAATTTGTAACGCACAAGTAAATTTAAGAAAACTATCGGCAGTATGCAGAGCAAATATTTTTTTAGTTTCAAATATTTATGTACCCGAATATCTGAAGATTTTTGTGACATTCATCTAAATCAGCCATACTTAACCTGCAGTCCGCGGGCCTTATGCGGCTCTCCAAGCTGTTGTGTGATTATTAGTAACTAAAATGGTTTTTTAGAAAATATTTAAAACGGATTCCTATCTTCACCCATTGTCCTTTATTTGCATTTCAAAAAGGTGGCAACTTTAGTTATCACCCAAAAATATTGTGGCCCGTGTAACATAACAAACAAATTTATGTGGCCCCAAAAGAAAAAAAGGTTGAGTACAGCTAATCTAAATCTTCAAGTTTATTAATGATTAATTTACATGCTAGTTTGCGTTTTGTTTATAGACCATTCTTCCACGTTAATTTAAGAGCGGCTGCTACTGATAATAATAATAATTTAAAAATTAGGAAGACAAAAATTCTTTTAGTTTAGAAGAATAATATTTAACTTCAATTTCTAAACGGAATTTCCAAGTATTATATGAATTTTGTGAACCAATAAAACAATATGGTAACTTAAGAAACATTGCTCAAAAAGATTTACTTGCTTTCCTTGTTAAACTAAGACATGGATTGTCAGATGAGTTCCCAATCTGATATAAATATACATAAAAAGGCAATATAAAGAGCCAATGCTCCAGTCAAAATAAACATTTAATCCGATCGTTATTCATTTCCCTACTAAGACCTACCGTATAACGAACTTTTTTTGTAATAAAATAATGTATGACTCTGTATGTGAACTAAAAAGATTTTTTTGATAAACAACTCCAAAGTTAAAAGGCAATTATTTTCTATTTTTGCCAACAATTTCAACATTTTGTTGATTTTTTCACCTTACATATTCAAACGCAATCCAAAACCCTAATCCAAAACAGTGTGTTAAATTATCTAATATACAGTATTTCTCTGAAACATATCTACTTATGTCAGTATATTTTTTTTTTGTTTAAAATTCATATATTTGGTACATATTTGGAAAACTAGTCATAGGATGTAATTTTACCAATAAGAATTTTGAACGAGTACATCGAGTACTATACGATATCAAATATTGAGAAACTTTGACGGTGATATTTTTTTTTTTTTCGGTATTTCAGCTATTTTTGTTCGGTGGAAATACCTACTTTGACCAAAAAAGATCTGCCGAATCATTACTCACCCTGTAAGGGACAATATTTTAATTATTCGCGATTCAAGCTAAGTGATACGCCCTCTGGAGGAAATTAGTAGAAGGTCCCTATAAGTAGGATGACGTTCAGTGTTGCCAGAAGCAGCAAAATTTTGTTACGTCGTCGGATTTTAGTTCTTGAAGAAATGAATAAGAACTTTCATTTAAGAATCAAAATTTGTGTCTAGTAATATGTAATCATACTATTTATTTGAGGATTTTTTTATAAAATCGATTTATTATATTGATTTTTTTTTAAATTTCAGTTCATTTATTAATTTTAGTTTTAAAATCAGTCTGAGACAAAATCAGTTCATCATTTGGCAACATTGGCGTTCGTGTTCATTGTATTGTTTACATTTTAATTTGTATCAATTACAATTAGAGTTTTTTGTTACTTTTTAGCTTTAAATTCGTTTATTTCTTATAGTATGTGATAGTATTTAAATTAAAAATGAAATCTGCGAAAAAGCCTCCAGCAAATTGGTGTTATTGTCAAAATCAAAACTGAAGTATTCATTATTTTTCAAGTGCAAGTCATAAAATTTTGTTTCTTACGATAAATGGGTATCTACAAATTCACAATATTGAAATTTTGCAAAACGTTGTTTAGAATCAAACTCCAATATGAGTTGTGACGGTTTTATTACCATTTACATGTATACAAAGTACTACACAATTCACTTCATGATATAAGAATAAGGATAGTAAGATTTTTAAAGAAGTTCATCAATAATAAACGTTTGGTGCCTGATATGTCCTTTAAACCACATAATAAAACATGTCCTTGGTTTAGTAAATACATATTTCTAGATGTTCTTGTAGCAACCAATAGGTCAATATTTCCAACAAATTAGTTCATACTACACATGAAAAATACCTATTACATTTATAACGAAAGCACGAAAACTAAACTTAAATTAACACTAAATGAAAGAATATTATCTAAAAACAGTTAAAAAATCACAAATACAAAATCCCACAACACGTAAATAAACAAACATCCTACTTATCCGTGACAAATGACAGGCGCGCGAAAATTAATTTGAATCGCGAATAGTAGTTAAGTATGTATTTTGACTATACAGAATGAGCAAATAACTTTCAAATATATTTAAGGGTGATTTATGGTGTCCATTTTAAAGGATTAGGGATTTCTAACTTCAACACCCTGTACCTCAAAATTTAGTCACAGGATACGATTGGGCCCATGGATACTTTTGATGGGGACATCAAGTAACTTAACATATCAAAAATTCAGACATTTTGACGGTAGTTTGCATAAGAAAAGTGCGTGGTCCTTTCTATTAATAATATATAAGTGGTTAATATACCCTGTACATAGTTTTGTGACAGATCAAACCTAAATTTTTAGCTGTCAAATGATTTACAATGAGTTACGAAGAAAAGCAAACGCAATGTACAGAAATTGATAAAAGAGAATTTACTTTACAAGTTTTCCAATGTGTGACATATATAATACATAAAAGTACATATTTTGTTTATTGGTCTCAGTAAAATCATAATAAATAGGAACAATGATAATAGTAATTATTATTATAGGTCCGGTTTTACAAGAATTATTTTTGAAATGGAGTGCTCTTTCATCAAGAGAAAAATTTTTATTAAACTATATAGCATTTTATATTATTGATTCGGCACAAAGTGATTTGTACGCTCCAATTATTCAAGGTTTCCATTATTGGAATAATATTCAAGATACTGAAGGTATATTGTACTTTTTAATGCACTAATTTTATCATAAAAAGTAAATAATGTTGAAAGTGGGAATAATAAGTCAACTCTAGCTCAATTAGGAAAGCATTCAACTTAAGGTCTCTTTGGTCACTTGTTCGATACAAAATTTCGGAAAGCCTTATTGAGACAAAATGGGACACACATTATCATACACTCACCGGCACGAAAAACGGAGCAGTTGAATTTTTTTAAACAAACTTAAAATTTTAATGCTTTGTGATGTTTAATTATTATAATATCTTAAACATAAACAAAACAACATGTTTTAAGTATTTTCTAACAACAATTGAACCTTTATTTGAAGAAAAAAAGGGTTTTGTAACAATTTAAAAAACGAAGATGAAAAAGCACAAATTGGTGTTGTTGCTAAATGACCTTAAATTAATCAAAACTGAAACGAATTGCTAGCAAAAACTGGGTAGCTGCATTTTTAATAACGTGTGTTGCCCCCACGTGCTCGAATAATAGCCTGCATCCTCCTTGGCATGTCTAAAATTAAGTGGCGAATGTCCTCTTGAGGAATATGTTCCCATTCCTCTAAAAGAGCTTGTTGCAACTGATTTAAAGTTAAAGGAGCAGGAACACGACTTCGCATCCTTCGCCCAAACATGTTCAATTGGGTTCGCATCCGGGCTTAACGCTGGCCACTCCATAACAGGAATGTTTACATCGTTTAAGTACTGTTGAGTGATTCTCGCGATTTGAGGTCTGGCATTATCATGCATTAGAAGAAAGTCATTTCCAATAAAGTCAACATAAGGGACAACAAAATCTTGGAGAATTTCATCCATGTACATGGCAGCAGTTAAGGAGCCTCTCGGAAGGATGTACAATTCTGTGTGTGCCTCCATAGAAATTCCGGCCCACACCATAACTGAGCCTCCTTGGTAGCCTACCCTAGGACTGAAGGTACATTCTGCGAAACGCTCTTGTGGTCTTCGCCATACTCTCTCACGACCATCTGGAGACCGCAGGCTAAATCTGGACTCATCCATAAACAAAACGCGCCCCCATTCATTTTCACCCCAGAGCTCATGATTTCTGGCAAACTGAAATCGTGCAATACGATGACGCCTAAGAAGCTCTGGGCCTGTTGCAGGTCTACGACTGGTAAGATTGGCTTCTCCGAGTCTTCGTCTAACTGTCCGTTCGCTTATGTTGGTTTGCCGGACGTGATGAAGTCGATTTCTGATTTCAACAGCCGTAGCATGACGATTTCGCAGACTTTGTAAGATGATAAAGCGATCATCATGAGCGCTAGTTCTTCGTTGGGGACCAGTTCCAAGTCGTCTGGTGTAAGCTCCAGTTTCCAAAAAAACGTGTAAAAATACGATGCACAGTGCTATTGGATATGTGATACTGTTGGGCAACATATCGCTCACTTCTTCCGTCTTGAAGCAACGCAACAATAGTAGCCGCTATTTCGGGATTAACAGCCATAATTTTGTAGGTGAAATAAACGCAGCACAACTTTAAAACATGTTTCGATCTGTCAAATTTCTCAAAACAATGAAAACAACAGCATTGTTGGTCATGGTTTCATAGCCAACTATGCACTTTGAAGTGATAAGTCCGTTCAATTTTTGATTTTTATTCAAAAACGCTTTTTTTCTTCAAATAAAGGTTCAATTGTTGTTAGAAAATGCTTAAAACACGTTGTTTTGTTTATGTTTAAGATATTATAATAATAAAACATCACAAAGCATTAAAATTTTAAGTTTGTTTAAAAAAATTCAACTGCTCCGTTTTTCGTGCCGGTGAGTGTATCTTGTACAGGAGATTTTTGAGTAGTACTATATCTAATAAATCATAGAAGAGTTTTAAACTGTTTAAATGAATAACATCTTTCTTGTCCAGAATCATGAGTAGTTTATATTTTAAGGAGCATGTGGTTTTGATGGTAATCCTTTAGAATTTAAATTTGGTCTCGATGAAGAAAAGAGAATTTTTCAAATAATAGTGGATATCGATCATGTCATTAGTAACATTCTTTTGAGACCTATACTATGTAAAGAAATACAGAAATCATGTTCCAAAAATGTACATCCCCTAATGGAAACGGGTATCAAAGGATAAGGTGATAAATTAATATTTTAACTATATTTATATCAAGATTTGTTAGGTATATTATCAATTTACAATTTTTAAATTATTTTAAAATGAAAATAGATTTGAATTTTATTCTAAATAAAATATTTTATTTAATTTTATAATTTATTTTTTTTGTTTGTTTGCATTGCACCTAGCTATATTTCAGCCAATCAGCAATTTATCTTTGTTATAAGCTTAAGTAAACTTAAAAGGCTTAAAACTAAGATTTCAACCAATGGTATCTTCTCCTTTCTGTTCTGATAACTATACACTTTGCTCTGCTTTAACACACTTTCACATCACTAATTCAAATAGTTTGGTCCTTCTGAGCCTTCTCATTAGGTATTAGTTGTCCAGGAACTGTATAATTTCAATATTGATGTGATCATGCAGTCTTTTTTTATGTTTTTTTTTTGCGATGGTTTTCCTCTCTTCTTTAACTGTAGGCATTCTCAGCTCTCTATGTAGGTCTAAGTTTCTAACATACCAAGGGGCGTTTACTATTACCCTTAATATTTTGTTCTGGAAACGTTGTATTATATTTATGTTAGTTTTACTGGCACACTCCCCAGAGCTCTATGCTGTAAGTTCATACTAGCTTCAGTAGGGGAAGGTCGGGCAAAGTGAAATTTTGGTATATTATTTTTTGAAATTGGCGGGTTCAAGTTTTACTGCTACAAGAAGCCTAGCTTCCTTAAGTTGGTACTTATAAATATAATATGAAAGTTGTAATGCAAGTTCCGCATGTGATAATACGACTTTTAGTGTTTTTAAGTGAAAAACTGTAATATTCGTACCATTTTTTTGGAACGAACCATACGAAAACGGTAAGTGATTAATTCCTGTCTATTTGTCAGCTTATATTATACATGTTTAGAAGCATTTTAAAGTGTTTACGGTCCCTATTTATCGTTTTGGTAAAAAGGTGGATTTGTTTTTTGACGGTCGCGGCAAGGCGGGCAAAATGAAATAAAGGTGTTGCAGGCAAAGTGAAATATTTTACTTTGCCCGCTCAGTTAGGGCAATGTGAAATGGCTATTGTTGTCGCATATATATGACCAAGCTTAGTGCTATCTTTTTTATTTTCAGATAAGATGGTGCATAAATATATTAGAAAGACTACCCAACAATCATGGGAGAAAAATAGCATGGAAGCTGCAATAGCGGCTTGTAGAGCTGGAACATCAATTAATGCCGCAGCTCGCCAGCACAATATTCCTCCTGCGACGCTCTTCCGGAGAATAAAAGCACCAGTAGATCAATGTGTTAATAAAAAACTTGGAAGATATCGTTCTGTATTTAGTGAAGAACAAGAAAAGATTTTAGTTGACTACGTTTTACAAATGGAAGAGCGACTCTTTGGTTTAACCTTAGCAGATCTTAAATCTGTCGCATATCAATTGGCTGTCAGGAACAACATTTCTCACCCATTTAATACTGAAAAACAGGTATCCGGCAAAGATTGGGTTAATGGCTTTTTAAAAAGAAACCCAACATTATCACTGCGGCTTCCAGAGAAAACCTCAGCAGCTAGAGCCTCGGCCTTTAATGAGGTTAATGTTAAAAAGTTTTTCGATCTACTTGATAAATTATATGAAAATCACCGATACCCCCCGAATCGCATATATAATTGTGATGAGACGGGAATTACAACAGTACCAAATAAGCCTTCCAAAATTATATCAAAAAAGGGGGAAAAACAGGTGGGAGTTCTGTCCTCAGCCGAGAGAGGAACGCTGGTTACTGCTGAAATTTGCTTCAATGCGGCCGGAGAATATATTCCTCCAGCTTTGGTATTTCCAAGGGTTCGACACAATGTGACTTTTGAAAACGGTGTTCCTCCAAACACAAAAATTTTTACCCATCCAACAGGTTGGATGCAAACAGATATATTTACTGAGTGGTTCCAACATTTTCTAAAATTTGCAAAGCCAACAGCTGAAGACCGTGTCCTACTCATTTTAGATGGCCACTCTACTCACATAAAAAATATTGACATGCTGACTGTAGCCAAAGAAACTTTTGTGGATATTCTCGTTCTGCCTCCGCATTGTACACATCGGTTACAACCGCTTGATGTTTCCTTTATGTATCCGATTTCCACATTTTATCAGCAAGCTGTAAGAGTGTGGCTGCGAGAACACCCCGGAAAAATCGTAACTATTCATGAAATTGGAGCCCTATTTGGCGAAGCCTACTTAAAGGCAGCCACGATGGAAACGGCGATTTCCGGCTTCAAAAAAACGGGCATATATCCATTTCAAAGAATTTTCGGTGCAAGCTCCTTTGCTGCAGCTGAAACAACTAATCGTGAGGCAACTGCTGGAACAAGTCAAGATCAAAGAACATGTGCCGTCCAAGGAAAACCGCAAACACCGTCAAATGTGATTCCGGAAGGTTCTATTATTGTTTCTCCCCAGGACATACTACCGATTCCTCGAGTTTTTAATCAAGGAGATGGCGCCCCAAAAAGGAAGAGAAGTCATATATCCACAGTAGTTGCGACTTCAACCCCTTTTATGGAGGAGCTGAAAATTTCCAAGCAACGAAAGGAACCAGCGGCGAAAAAGAAAAAAAAGATACTCAAGAAGCAATTGTTTCCCGAGAATGATACTGACAGCGAGAGTAGTGAGATAGATCCACCCCTGGACGATGAGAGCAGCTTCGAGTTGGATGACCAAACCTCTCCAACTGGCCCCACAGGTAAATGCGAACACAGAAGTGACTGTAAAATACATGGAAAAATGTCAAAAATATTTTCGTTGGCCTAACAAAGAAGATATAATGACTTATGGGGAAGAAGACATTTACATGGTCATTAAAAAGACAAAAGTGCTTAGACGAGGTTTTTTTGATGTACCCGAACTGGGTACTTATGCAACCCCATAACATTTTATTATTTTCTTTATAATATGTGATGTTATATAAATGTGTTTGACTTTAATTTTTTTATTATTAAAATGAGGTTTTAGATATATTTTATAGTATTTCACTTTGCCCTCACGAAAATTTCACTTTGCCCGCAACATGGGGGGCAAAGTGAAATTTGCACTCTTATCGATTTTAATTTTTTTTTCTCCCGGGTGTCGTTAGGTCAGCGGTTTTTAGCTAATACATTGTGAACATGTATAATATAGAAAACAATTGCGCATAAGATTGTTTTTCTGAGTGCACCCACAATACCACAGGAAATGATCAAACGTTAACTATTCCACTTTGCCCGACCTTCCCCTACTTGTTTATATATTAAAAAATTATTTTCGATTGAAAGTTTTGATTTTCTATTCATCAACCATTTTAATTTTCTATATTTAATACCACACTTTACAAAAATCATTTGATAGTGGAATATTTCCATATGCTTGGAAATTTTCCCACCTTATGCCAGTTTACAAGAAAGGTAATAAAAGCGATATAAAGAATTAGGGAGGTATTTCCATTATATCGATAATTCCAAAACTATTTGAAGCCATACAGATGAAATGTTTTACACGTGTAAAAACTATATCTCACCTCAATAACATGGCTTCTATCAAGGTCGCTCGATAACAACTAATCTGGCAATCACAGATCACTTACTTACTTACATGTAAAAGAGCATGCGCATTGGGTTACATTCAACGGATATGTTGCGCGCAGCTGCTATGTTGTGTCCTATCACACGGACTTCGCACGTTTTACTTTCTCTCTCGCACATATTTAATTTCTCCGATTTTAAAACTTTAAATCATGGCATTAGTATTCCATGAACAGTTTTATCTCTCTTCAGATAACAATTTTTATTGGTTGACATTTCGGTGTAGTTACCTATATTAACTTACCTGTTCATACCTGCTTGCCAGGTAGCCATGAACAGAAATAAGTAAACAAGCCTACCGAGGTATATTCTCCATGTCAAAAATTATCTGTTAAAATTAAATTTGTTCGGTTATCAGAAAGGTGAAGGTTATAAAAAAAAATTAATTAAAAATAGCCATGAACACTTTTCGAATGGCAAGTATCCATAAGCGTGTTAATAAATCAATAAAATTTCGTAAAAAATATGTTCTACCTGGTTATCAGATGAGTGAAGGTCGATCTCCCACGGTCTTCTCTATTAACAGAATGAATATGTAACTACATATCAGTCTATTAAACGAATAAAACGTTATATCTATTCTATATATAATGTGTATCAGATTGATGACGTAGGTGTCTAACGCGCTCGCATTCACAAAAAAATTATCATCTACATTCAAGAAAGATTACATTTGTTTGAAATAAAGCAGAGTTTGCTTCAAATAATATTTCTCGATACAATAAGAAAATAAATGTTGAGTGAAATGTAGGCATACTCTTGTATTTTAAGAGAATAAATTATTTAATTCGAGTCTAGCATTGTTAATTAATCCAAGAAAGCTCTTACGTTTATTGTAAGTATGATATGCTCTTAAAACCGATCGCGTACCTGATTCAATGTTATAAAATGATTCGATACAAAGCATTTAAATTTCAGACCAAGAATTAAACAATTCGAATCAAAAACCTATATACTTCACAAAAGATTAGCGAGTACAAATTCACTGCACGGTGTTCATAGGCGTCGAATCCTCGGGGCTCTAGTAGTTTGAAAGTGGGTGCGGAGCACCCATAGCACAACGTGGACAAAAAATGCCAATAAGTGAAATGAAGAAGCTGTTGTGACCCAATAAGTATAACGGTATAACGACAGGATGTCTCGATAAAATATCGTTCTGAGCTGTATTTTTTGTGATAAAAAAGTCATAGACAACGCATTGAACCTGAACTTAAGAGTTTATTATTCTTGGTGTATAAAACTAAACTAAAAACGCGCGGACCTGTCAGATATTGATTTTAGAGGGAAACATTTTTTTGCCCCTTGATCCAAAATCCTTAATCGGGGGTGACACTCACCCCTAAAATTTTAACTGGAAAGAGAGGTCGAATGATAACTTATTTTAAAGGTATTTTTACATATAGTATGA